GCTGGTTTGTTCATAGATTGGCCACTATTTACTTTCCACTTTGTGATACTCCCTTTATCGACCCTGGTGAAGTGCTGAATTGACCATGACTGGGGTTTAAACTCTTAACCTTCTGATCCTGAGACAACCCTGCTAACCACAATGCCACTCAACCAGATCAATGCTGATGTATTGTCTTGTACATTGTATTTAAGTATGAATAGTTTTGCACTGGATTTGATTGTAATGCTTCTGCACGCTATCTATATGTAATTGTTTTATACATTGAAGTTTGCAGTGCGAACTTTTCTTGAGGACATTGCTGCTCCAGAAATACCTTGGAAAAAAAAGGCTTTCATCATGATGGATATGCATTTGTTTTCACATGAAGGCCACTGATTGCTTAAGTTCTTGATTGATTGAAATAATGCAAAAGTGTTCAGAGGAAATGTATGAATATAGGCCTGGATGATGGAAATTGCAAACGTCTTTCGATTGATTGTTGACTGCGTTTCATAGATGCATTAAACATCAAGCACGGAAGGATAATAACAAATAACAAATACAGTGCTTTGTTAACATTCATTGAGGCCCTGCGGTGTGACTTAATGGTGTGATCTTGCATAATTATGGTGCCTAGAATTACTAGAAATAATAATGACAAATGTTAACAATTTGTGAAAACTGTCACGGCAATTGGAAGCGATAAATAGTACAGAACACCTTCGCTGCATAAACAGTTGCCAGAGCACATCTGTTAATTTGAAATTAAAATCCTACACTGGAACATATTTGAGCTCTACTCAAGTGTAGCCGATGGATAATGGAGTGTGTTCTCCAGAGAACAATATTCCTCAAAATCACCTTTGGGATAAACAGCTGCTTTTAGTATACAGCGATAATCGTAAAAAAGTTTAAATGCGATGTACATTTCTTATAAGGAATGCTATTTTTTTTTTTACAAAGCAGGCTCTTATCCTAATGGCTTGGACCTGAGTGACTAGCTGCAAGATAAATCTGGCTTGACAAAATGTGAAACGTAGGCCGATGCTACAGCTTGGGAAGAGTTGAACTGTAGGTTAAGCCACACTTGAATAATTCACTTTCCCTCACCGTAAACCATTTATGTGGAAATGTGTGGGGACGTAATGCCACTTTTTCAGGATGAGTGCTTTGAAACTTAGTTCAAGGAGACCAGGACAATTGTATTCGGGGCTCGTTTATAGATCACGGCGAATGCGTTTCTCATGATGTTCGTTTTACGGCCAACTCTATCCTAAATGTGTTGTTTGGGTCATGCAAACAGAATGGAGAAATGTCTCTCTGGGACTCGTATAACCAGGCAGCATGTCATGAAATGGCCCACAGAAGTTCATACCTCAGACCTACTACTGGATTCACTTTGAAGTTGGCCTCTCTCACCCAACACTTGAGTGGTGCCCCTTCTTGCTTTGAAATCGTCCGTTATATTTCAATAATTTTAGCTGTCAATGCTGAACGAAGGTGAAGACAACAAGGTTTATATCACAGGTATATTGTATGTTGTCATGGTAATCAGACTGAGACCCATCAACTCCAATGGAACCCTAGTTTAGTCATGTGCAGCTGAGATGCAGATTCAAAACAAGCATCTTCATATTGGCGAATTGGTGTCCTGGTCCAGGCATTATCTCCCTTAATCACCTTGGCATCTCTAAGTTTGTACGTATTTGTATATTTAAGTATTCCCTCGTTATTCACGAGAAATACGTTCGGGAGATGCTTGTGAATAGCACATTTCGCGGATAATTATATTGGCCTACGAAAACCAATGTTTTTTTTATCCCATAACTTTATCGCATGATGCAGTCGCGTAGAATTCCAGATGTGATTCGCAGATAGCAAGTTCGTAAATAACGAGGGAATACTGCGTGAAAATTACATCATCAAGAGACTTTAATGTTATTGAACGTGGCATTCTAGAATTGGCCCCACACTGGGCTGCCAAACCATTGGCATCTGCAGTGCAGCATATATATCTTGATTCAATTTTTTTTTTAAACAGAAAACGTATTCTTCACGTGGAGAAAATATACAGTGTGGTACATAATTGAATTTCATCATCAAGCTACAACGTGCAAAGAAAACACATTTGGAGACGGAGCGTGACATTTTGCAAAGCTCTGTCGCTACTCTTCACTCTCTGGGAGCTGCAGACATATTAAATAAATTATAAAAGGCTGCCTCTGATTGGCTGCGACGGGGGCTGCACATACTCCCTGCTGTGCCCATGCTGTGGCAAACAACCTGGTCTCCTGAAACTAATTTCCAAGTCACAACGTGGCTCAGCATTCACGCAGCTCTACAGACAGCACGCGCCGTAGGGCATTTACCACTGGACCCTGACCTCCAGGACAGGCGTTCTTGACCCCTATCGAGATTCTCAGGTGTGCCTATTTGCAGTGTGCATTGCAAAGTTGTAAGTGCATTGAAGAAAACACTCACTGTGCACTGGGCAGTAGATATAAACAATTCGTGGCTATATAATACTTTTTTTAAAAAATCGAGACCGCTTGTTCATCCATAATGCGAATATTTGTTTTCGTCTTATCGGCCTATTTGTCGTCAGCACGTATGTTAATCTGCAAAATTTGTTTAAACCACCAGACTCTGTGCCAGTTTTGACAAGCCTGGCACTGCTCCAGATTTTGCTTGTTTAAAAATATGCTGTTGGATAATATTGGTCTGGTAGTTTTAGTTTTTATTGAGTAGGTCGCTTGATTATGTAGATTCAGTCGATTGGTAGGAATGTAAATATGGATGGCAGTAGCTTTGGAATATAAAAATAAAAACTATACTATTTTTATTTTACCGGTTAAGGCTCACTGAGCTATACACCTATTTTTTTAGAAGCCACCTGGCCACAAATGATAGCTCAATGAATTGGCTTACCATGTGGAAATTGATAGTAGCCAAATACTCTAAACCCCCGTTGATTCTAAATGTCGAGGAAAAACCAGAGGCCGCTGAGAAAAATCCATGCTACTACCACGGGGACAGAGAACATGCAAACTCCAAATATACAGACTTCAGGGTCGGGATCGATCCCACATCCTCCTGTAGACCAGGCGAGGTAGTTAACATCTCGCCACCATGGTGCCCATTTAGGTGCAAGTGGAGGGTTCTCGTTCTTTGATGGCAGGCTGAGTACACGGCTTGAGTCCAGCGTAGAGAGTGGCAGCAAAGCATTGCATAATCACCAAGGCCAGGTTGTGACGGTGGGCATGTACGCAGGACGTAGGAGCACACGTTACCGAAACAGCCATTGGAGTGGTGCCCAGAGATCAGAAACCAAGGGCAGACCTAAAGTCAGATGCTGGGATGCTGTAAGAGAAGACCTTGTTTCTTATAAGTTGTTTGCATATCAGTTACGGGATCTTCCAGAAGCCAGGAAGTAACGGCGAGGTGCGGTGCCATGAAGTTGCATGAGCTATCATGTCCTGGCATTTCACATCAACAAATAGGATTGAGGCAGGATTAATTCATGCCCTGTTCATCTTCTTGGTTCTTTCGGTAAAGTCACGTAGAAGGAAAATAATAGAAAATTTTACATTTTCTTATTTTCCTTCTACGTGACTTTACCGAAAGAACCAAGAAGATGAATCCTTGCAGTCACGAAAGCTTTAAATCGAAATCATGCCCTGTTCTTAATGTTGTCGAGGGGATGTAAAACAGTAAAGCTCTCAGGCTTCACCCATTGCTGGCCACGATGGACTCTGGACGAATCTGAGATTCCATTGACGCCCACTCATCGTTGCCTTGTTGATTGTAATGACGTCCTACCTAGCCTCCCGGGGGTCCCTGCAAAGGGTTTCCAAGGTGGGATGGTGACGGAAAGACATCGGACGGAGACCTGAGATATGATTCCTGGCTTAGGGCCCACGGCGACCTTAATCTGGTGCCGCTGTGAGAGGGGGGGGGGCATGTAATGACCTGAGTCATACTGGAGTTGACCGACCACGGCTGATAAATCACAGCCTCCTAGGACTGCCGCCCACACTCCACGTGGGCAGAAAACAAATCGAAGAAAATAATGTACAGTATGTTGAAGCTGTCTTGCTAACAAGTTGTGTCTTTGGGTTCATGACGTATGATGAGGACAAGGGGACAGGGGGGGGGGGTACATGTATCGATAATAGTCGTGATGACCATGTAAGAGTCCATTAAGAGCAGAAGTCTCTTTTTTTATAGAGACCCGGCTGTTAATCATTCTGTCAAAGCATACAATTTCATTGCGGATGCAAAATGCAGAAAATGGCACTTGAAATATTTCACGAAGTAATTAAGAACATTCATAAGTATTTAAATTATAAACCTTATTACACTTTATTTATTGAGGGTTTACATTTTAAAACTAACATGTACATTGAAGTTTATGGAATGTAATGTTGAGGTTTGTTACTTTTAAGTTAAACGATGTATGTTGGAACAGGAATGAGGGTACAATTATTGTTTTATTTGCGTTCTCTTTGTCGTTGGTTCGTTTCTCAATCTGCTGGTCCTGGTGAGGGTCGCGGCTCTCATTGTCATGTCCATTGCAATAATAAGCTATTTTTATCATTGCGTTGTTCTGCATCGATAGGTTAAATGTGTTCGACAATAATATATTCACATTGCATTGTTTACACGTGACATGTTCATGTGGCTTTATGGGGTACGGTGGCAAAGAGGTTATTGTGTTGCGCTATTGTCAAGCATTGGATCGATTTTCCAACCATGCACAACTCCAGTGACAAATGCTGTCTCTACCTGTGCTGAACCTCTTACTCAGCCTTACATAAGAGACCACCTGGTATGGTGTGTGGACATCAGCAATCGGGAGATAAAGGTAACTCGGGCGCTGGCCAGACCACCTTCTCGTGTGACGTGCTGGCTGTAACAACTGCTAGCTAACAGCACTCACCTCTACCCCACAGCCTGCATGTGTGTATGTTTGTACGTATGCCTGTGTAACACTGTGATTCTGTGCGTGTGTTAACCAGCTGTATAATATCCGGACTGGGAGGACACGGCCTCAGGCACTTCTCTTCCTCTGCCTCATTCTCATGCTCACCGTGATGCATGTCAACTACGTGATGTACAGCCTAGCACCGGACTATGTCATGTACGGCAATCAGAAGTACCTGGTGAGTTGACAGAGCATTGCACACGCAACTGAAACGCGAGATGAGTGTACAACACAATACACAATCCGTCATCGTCGTCACATCGGTCAGGATAATCACTTCGGTCGTCAATCTCATCGCGTTTGCAAACGTTTGAGCATCGTCATTCTCGCTCAAAATCTTCATCGTCATTATCGTCGAGGCCTCCATCATCGCTCTCGAATCTAAACTGATAAAAAAAAATGGCAGTGAAATTAATGTTGCTCTCTATTCAGGTCTCGTGTGTTCACATTTTATTGAGTGCATTGCGTCACGGCTAGTACGTGAAAACATATTTCAATTATCTCCAACATTTATGGGTGACAGCCCACGGGGAAAGCGGCAGATTGTGCACATTTTTGGTTGCTTGCGAAGGTGTCCATCGTCTGTGTTCTGTCTTTAGCGCATGACCTTGAATTTAGTTTCAGGGGGCGTGCAGAATCATCGGCCTTAGCCGAGTCTCGGTTCCAAGGAACAAACAGCCCCCAAACACACACTGTTTGTGATCACACCTCGGCTGTGTGTGTTCTGGGCCCATCGCACAAGAGTGTGAAGCTTTAAATGTTGGCTTAAAAAATTTAAATCTTTATTAAAAGCTTGCCTTTAGAGGCGAACCCCCCTTTTCCTGATGACGACCGCTTGTGTTGCGATCGAAACGTTGTAGTTTTTATTGAAAATGTTTTATTTAAATTTTTTAAAAATTTGTATTCACTTTATTATTATTATCTTCCTATCTACGTGACTTCACCGAAAGAACCAAAGAATGGTGTGAAGCTTTGTTAATGAGAAAAGAGTCGCAATTCACAGCCGCATGTGTCACTTTCATGTGCGCTGCAACAGTCGACTGATGTGACGTTACAGCCACGCCAGGATCCCCTCGTCACGCTCTTCAAGGTGGGCACCCTCTAACCCCTAGCTGTGTCATGATGCATGGGAAATTGTGGAATGCCGCGATGGCAAAGTGTTAACTGCCTCGCCTGGTATACAGGTGTCCGTGGGTTCGATCCCGACCCTGACGCCTGCATATATTTAGAGTTTGCACGTTCTCCTTATGGTCATGTGGATTTTTCTTCGGGTCCTCCGGTTTTTCCCTCTACATTTAGAATCGAGTAATTGGCTGCTATAAATTTCCACGTGACAAGCCACTTCAATGAGCTTTCATTTGTGGCCAGGTCGCTTCTGAAAGAAGAGCTGTATAACTCAGTGGGCCTTACCTGGTAAAACACGAAAATGGTTTTAATATTTCGATTTAAAGCTTTTGTGACTGCAGGGATTCATCTTCTTGGTTCTTTCGGTAAAGTCACGTAGAATGGAAATAATAAAATAATAAAAATAAAACATAATATAATTCTCATGACGTTTCGCCACAACGCAAGCAGCCGTCCTCAGGTGAAGAACAGGTCTGTCAGAAAGACAGCGTCTGAATGAACACCACCAGGCTTGGCAGCGTATATTTAAGCTGGGTTGGAGGGGGTAGAGCGCCTTCACATGCCACAACGCTGCTTGCGTTGTGGCCGAAACGTCGTGAGAATTATTTTATAATGTTTTATTTTTATTATTTTATTATTTCCATTCTACGTGACTTTACCAAAAGAACCGAGAACATGGTTTTAATAGTTTAATAGCATTGTCGGAGTTACTCTGTGTGGCCCAGCGCAAAAGGAGGAATTTGAAAGCCATCGTGGTGGCACACTGGCACACTGGCCTGTAAAGCCGAGTCAGCAGAAGCAGACGGCCACACCGCCGTGGATCAGTCTTGATTTGATAGTGCAATAACATAACGTCCACTTTACGCTTTGGATCGCGTCGTCTTTTAATCGAGGCGGCAACATAAGCAATGCAAATGAGATAACCTTGGGTAGGTGCATAGCAGAAAATTAGGGACACCTGAGACGTCAGTCACACCACATATTCTGCGCAACAGGCAGCAGTGCACCCAACATTTTACTCTTATCTGGAAAGCTTTTTGCGAACCCAAACATTCAAATGTGCTGCGCCGTTGCCCTGGTATATGGCACGCATAGCCGCTTGGTTAAATGGCAATGAACAGCACAATTCCATTCTCGGGAATGCGTTGAGCTGCCTTATCTGTGTACGGCTCAATGAATAAGCAATGTGTCCAGTGACCAAGTGTGATGCAACTCTCTCTTTGCATCATTTTTCCTCTGCTGTACTAAACACTAATACATTCAACATGTATTCTCATTGCGATGCGACTGTGCGTTTCCTAGGCACCGAACACATGGGCGAGCGTTTAGCGCGTGAATCTCCCTTTTAAAATTAACGCCACCAGAGTTGCTTTCTGTTCCTTCGGCAAGTGTGTGTGCCTTGAGAATCGGCATTATGGGATCCACGCTTTTCTTGGGAATGCCCGCCGCCCCAAATTCACCGCCGGTTGGAATACAGTAACTTCCCTGAGATGTATTTCGATTTAAAGCTTTCATGACTGCAGGGATTCATCTTCTTGGTTCTTTCGGTAAAGTCTCATAGAGGGGGAAATAATAAAATAATAAAAATAAAACATAATAAAATCATTCTCACGACGTTTCGGCCACAACGCAAGCAGCTGTCCTCAGGTGAAGAACAGGTCTGTCGGAAAGACAGCGTCTGATGGGCACCACCAGGCTTGGCAGCGTATATTTAAGCTGGTTTGGAGGGGGGGAAGGGGCGCCTTGACAAAGGAATTTGCATATCAAGAGGAATTTAGCATATTTATGGGAAATGCAGATATAGGATTAGTCACTACTTGTGGAATGCGTTGGAGGTGGGGGGAGGGGTTCAAAGTCATATTATGTCCGTACATTATTCAGTATGCTAAATTCCTCTTGATATGCAAATTCCTTTGTCAAGGCGCCCCTTCCCCCGCTCCAAGCCAGCTTAAATATACGCTGCCAAGCCTGGTGGTGCCCATTCAGACGCTGTCTGTCCGACAGACCTGTTCTTCACCTGAGGACGGCTGCTTGCGTTGTGGCCGAAACGTCGTGAGAATTATTTTATTAAGTTTTATTTTTATTATTTTATTATTTCCCTTCCCTGATTTGGCTAAACGAGGCATGTGTCGAACGTCTCGTGAAATTGGACAACTGAAGAGCCCGATGCCAGAGGGCGGCCTGCTCGAACTTAGCGGTTTCAGTTCTTGGGTCTGCCCAGTAATTCATAGGAGGATTACTAAAGTGTGCCATCTATTGAGAGAGACATTACTTGCATTCATGACACATTGTTCTAAAGAAGAATATAAAATGTCCCGAAAGATTACTTATTACTTTGTAAGTGTTGTTACTCAATTCCCTATGATCGTAATAAAATAATGTATATATATCTCTGGGATTAGAGGTCCCAAACGCATTCCCATGTTTAGGAGGTTGTTTCCAAAGTTGCCTGCCTTTTCTTATATTGATGCAGTTGCTTCTTTGAAATCGGTTGTCACGATGTCTGTATATATGTTGTTATTAATGCCTTGATTTGTGAGAACATGGATGACTGCTTCAACTCCTCCAGAATCCAATGCTCTTTCATAATCGATCAAAACCAATCATAGCGGCAATTGATATTCATATGTCATTTCTAAGATTGTATTAATAGTGTGCATGTGGTATTGAGTGGAAAAGTTATTCCTTCATTCAGCTTTCTGGAATTGTTGTTTGGTCTCTAAAACGTAAATTGTTGGGGTTTCGTAGATCTTTATATACATGTGTAGGTGAACTCACTACACATGTGATAGGAGGCTTGTCGGCCTGTAATTCTGAGCAACAGTCTTGGCTCTCTTTTTGAGAAGAAGAGTGATGACTGCATCATTCCATGATTGTGGTTTTTCATTTCCGTGTAAATATTTAGGAAGTAGGTTTGATATTATTTCGGAATTTTTGCCATCTTAGATCCGCGAATCCCTTTTAACCGATCGCGAACATGAAGTGTGAGAAGTTAGTCAGGAACTTCCTAAACAAGGTTGGCAAAGTTGAAATTTAGATAAATGTGAGCAAACAAAAACAACAAGGGAACGTCACGTTTTGCGAAACAAAATAAAAATTAAATGTTGGAGGGGCACAACTTGAAAACACAGCAGACTATATGTACCTTGGGCAGTTAATGAAGTCAGACCGGGACCAAAATAATTAACTGAAGATGAGAACAAGAACAGAAGTGAGTGTCCTTTTAAAAGTTAACCACGATAATGAGAACATACCAATGTCAGCGAAGAACGTTTTCAATCAGTGCATGTTAGCTGCTGTGGATCAGATCAGACGCTTGGACACTGCGCAAGATAATAGAAGAAATGTTGAGAGATGCTGCCGCAGTGGTGAGATGTTAACTGCCTCGCCTCGTATACAGGAGGTCGTGGGTTCGATCCCGACACTGACGCCTGCTATTTGGAGTTTGTGTGTTTTCCCCGCTGTCGCGTGGATTTTTCTCCAGGTTTTTCCCTCCACATTTAGAATCAATGTGAGTTTAGAGTATTTGTCTGCTCTAAAGTTACACGTGACAAGCCTTTTCGTTGGGCTATCATTTGTGGCCATGCCGCTTCTGAAAAATAGCTATATAGCTCAATGGTCCTCACCTGGTAAAAACTAAAAGTTATTGTTTAGTTTCTTTAAATGACACTGAGAGACAGATATTCTTAGGTTTTTTCGGTAAAATCACGTAGGTAAAAAAATAAAAATAAAAATTAATAAAAGTAAATTAAAAATTAAAAATCACGACGTTTCGTAGGCATCACAATCTTCCGTCTTCAGGCGGAACCCTCACAGCACGATAGCTGTATCAAGTAAGTACTTGATACAGCACGATCGCTGTATCAAGTAAGTACTTGCTACAGCTATCGTGCTGTGACGGTTCCACCTGAAGACGGAATCTTGTGTTGCCTCCGAAACGTCGTGATTTTTTATTTTATTTTTATTTTACTTTTATTAATTTTAATTTTTTACCTACGTGACTTTACCGAAAAAACCTAAGAATATGAATCCTTGCAGTCACGAAAGCTTCAA